TTGAGGAAGTGGTGAGACCAGACCCCCTGGAGGTCTTTGTAGATCAAGATAAGAAGTTTGACTCTGTGCTTTGGGAGGCCACTGCTGGGTTCTGAGCCGGGAGGGGGCACAATATGGAATTCGCATAACAAAGAGCACTACACAGAGCAACCCCCTGCATGGCATCTTGCTGGTCCTCGTTTTGGCCACTCACATCATGACTTCGGCCTCCTCTATGAAGTCTTCTTCTGACATGGCTCCTTCCTGAATGGTTTTGATAGCCACCTTGTCCTTGTTGAGCCAGTAGCCGAGATGCACCAACCCAAACTGCCCGCTGCCAATCTCCTGCACAAATGTGAGCTCTGAGGGATTGAGCACCCACTTCCCTGTAAGAAAGAGAGATGGTTTCCCAGGGTTCCCAGCAGCAGATAGGAGACAGGCAGCCCCCAGGGACTGTATACCTCCTACACAGAATGGTAAAATTCCAGTCTTTCTTTAATCCGAACTCATGACGAGGAATGGTATCAGCCCCAGACCGATAAACTCATTGCCACTGAGTCAGTTCTGACTCACAGCGGCCCTATAAGGCAGCAGGGAACTGCCCTCCCTGTAGGGCAGTGGTTCTCAACCTTCCTCATGCCGCGACCCTTTAATACAGTTCCTCATGCTGTGGAAACCCCCAACCATAAAATTATTTTTGTTGCTACTTCATAACTGTAATTTTGCTTGCTGTTATAAATAGGGCGACCCCTGTGAGAGGGTCATTTGACCCCCCAAAGGGGTTGCGACCCACAGGTTGAGAACTGATGCTGTAGGGCTTCCTGGGCCACCATCTCTATGGAAGCACCTTGTCCCCTTTTTCTCTCATGACATAGGACCTGCATATGAAACTTTGAAAAAATATGTTTGTGATGTTATAGGCAAAGGGGAAGAAGGGAAACATTAATCAAGATAACTTAAGCTCCGTGAAAGGGTTCCTGTAAGATCACAGTCATTGTTTTTACCTGATTGAATTTTTTTCACATATGGAACATTTCATTTGAGCTGTGGATTCTGGCATGCTATCCATCCACTTATTACTACCCTGGTCTGAGGGGTCACACAAGGAAGAAAAGGACAATGGAGACCAACTTCAGTGATTTTGTTTTAAAACAACCAGCAACAAATAGATGAAATAAAATAAATTTCTGAATGCCTTAAACAAAAAGAGCATCCACTGTGCACACAGTACCTGCTGGACATTCGAAGGCTAGGAAGGGCACGGAGTCTGAAAGCGTTTGTCCAGAGGTACAAGCTAGCGCAGTGTCTGGCATATAGCAGGTTCCCAACAAATTTTTTTCCCATCAGCACAATGAGTGGGTTATCTCTGGTATAGTGTTCAGCATAAACACACAAACATTCTACAGATATCAGAACAAGCTTATCATCATAAAGAACCTATTGATCCTTAGTCTGAAGCCCTTCATCCAGCACATGAACAGCCAGATTGCTAACGCTGAGATGCAACAATGAGCAATATTCAGAGCCTCCCGTGTGACCGATATGGTGCTGGACAGGGATAGAGAGTACAAGGCAGTGTTTTGTCCTCTATCTGTCTGTATTAATCTCATCCAGGCCCCTTATTTAAAATGCTGATTATAGGGCACCACTTCTGGGGATTAGGCTTGGGTAAGTGTTAGCAAGAGTCCAACATTCACATTTTTAATGAACATGCTAGAGGATGTTGATTCACACTGAAGTGGGAGAACCACTAAAATAAGAGAAAGGGACTGGACGCCCATGGGAGACAAGACCCAGTGATCTGCTCCCATAAATATTGCACCTTAGGAAATCCTGTAGGGCATTCTACTCTGTCTTACAGGGTCACTATGAATAACATCAGAGTCCATGGTGCGCGCACACACAATTTAGGGGACACAAAATTAAAACGACACTGGCCCTCTCCTCAACTAGCACCCAAATGGCCTCAGCTTCCAGGCAGACAATCACAATGGATGAAGCAGGCCTGTAAGACAGGAAGGTACCGTAGGGCTGAGGCACGGAGATGAGCACCCTGCCTAAAGCCAACAAGAAAAAATGCTAACGGTGCTGTGCAAACAAACCCTCTGGATGCTGTCAGCCTACATCTGGACAGTGGGCCCATCCCAGCTAAGGTGCTGGTATTATTGTCCATGAGGCAGGTGCTGACACAGGGTCACCCATGCCCCAGCCAGTCTTTTGGATAGCAGCGAGTGCCATCCAGGCAGCCTCCCTTCCTCACAACAAAGTAAATAACACAAAAGTTCTAGAATTTAGGTGGACATACAGTGGTAAGCGCTGGTTCCTGGTGTTCTTCTAATAACATTTAGTAGGGTGTGCTGCATAAAATAGATGCTCAAAAAATGCTTCATTCATGAACGTAATTAAAACCAATGGGCAACTGATTTGCTCTAGATAATGTGCTCATGCATACACATCTCTTATTCACGCATGTTGTAAACACACATGTGCCAAGCAAATTAATGGTTACGTTAAGTCTGGGTAAGAGTTAGGCTCATGGAACAGTCCGCTTGGAGTTTGCCTCCATGCTTTAAAGATGTGACTCAGCACAAAAGCACAATGTTCTAGAATGCACCACTCACCATATCTCAGCCCTGCTGTGACCGGGGCTTTCTGCCTCCAGGAACAAACCGGGTACCGCAGTCGAGTGACCAGTCCTGGTGATTAAGAAGAGAAAGGTTAGAGCGGTGGTGACCCAATCATCCAAGTTACACCACCAGGAAACAGCACCCAGTTCAAAAGCTGCCTGTATTCTGGAGAGAAAAAAACCCCAAAGCCCTCGCACTGATATCAGGGTCCCCCGAGAAGATTCATAAATGCAGGTGGGCAGGTGGTCTATTCATTGATTTCAACTGCGCTTTCTAGTGGAAAATAGGTACTGTTTTCTAGTTGTCCATCTAGTTGTTATTTACAACAGGCTTGCGTGATGTGAAGAGACCAGTCTGGGCTTTGGCCTCTTCCTCGAGTGGACCTGTGAAGGTGCCCCTCGGGCTGGGCCTCCGGAACTTACCGCCTCCGTTGTGTTGGTGGTAATTGATGAGGAGAGGGATGGAATCGAACACATACTTTTCAGCCACGTAGTATCTCTTGGGGTTGTCATTGGTTTCTTTGATATGATAATGCTTTATGCAGGGGTTGTTCTCACTTAAACCAACAAAACACGTAAGTACAGCAGTGATTATGAATAGGCAACATTTAGATGCAAAAGTGTCTACTGGCATCAGCCCCCTCCTTGTTAGCCTTGTTCCTGGCTAATCGATTTCTCTCTCACAAGGCTGGCAGGTTAATTTCAACCTGTGTTGCCATGAGTTTCCGGAATGCTGTGTTCAGATGGAGCCTGAGCGTAGAGCGGCGGACTGGTGATGCTTCTTCCACGACCACAAAATGGTCCTATATTGGGTTGTGTATCTTCTCTGCTTATGAATATAATTACTCATATGCTGGGGAAACATCTTATGCCCCTTCAGACTTAGTTGACTTTGTGCACAACAGAATGGACACAGAAAGCCCGATACTGCTGCGTTTAGAGACACCTGTATGCAAGGCTCGCCCTTGGGTGTTGGCATCTGAAAGTTGGGTTTAGGGAGAGTTCCCTATTGTGATAAAAGTGCCCAAAAGGTTTTCTTAATAATGTGGCTTATGTTGAACCACTGCCTTCCTTCTGGGAGTCTAGAATCTGGGTGCACGCGAGGCTGATGGTGTCTATGTGGCCATCCCCCAGTTAGACCCTGGGCTGACCCTCTACTGAGTTATGGTAGACACCAAGTCACATGTGCCGCAGACTGTTGCTTGCAGAACTCAGTGTGTCCTTGGTGACTCCAATAAGAAAGGGCTCTTGAACTTGTACCTGGTTTCCACCAGACTTTACACCAAGTGCCCTTGCTCTTTGCTGATTCTGAAGTGTGTTGGCCAGGAATGAAAACCCAGTCTCCAGTATGGAAGGCAAGAACGCTACTACTGACCCACCACGGCCCTCCAGCCATTGATAGAGCGGAACCAGGACCCGGACTCACGTATCTTGTTTCCAGCCAGCCGCATCTTTACTCCCACTCCATGTATTAATTATAAGCTCCTCAGGATCTGATATTTTATGTCTTTAGAGCTCTGTATGCAGGATGCTAACCAGGAAGAGGACCTGGCATGCCTAGTGAAGGGAGTTTGGTTATGTATTTAATGTCCCCAGCCTTGGGATTCTCATATGGAGCAGGAGAAACAAACACTTTCTACCTATTTTCTCACAGCGCTGTTACCCATCATCACTCAGCCATTGCAGAGGTGACTCTGCACATTGCTGAGCACAGCAAGGCTCCTACCTGACAATGGCCTTGGTGAAAACAGACACGGTGTATGTTCCCGGAGTCCTGGAATCTCGTACCATGAAGGCTCCTTCTTTGCCCTGGAGTAGTTAGAAAGCAATGAAAGGGTCAGGAATCCAGGGAACCAGGCGTTTACACCCAGGCCTACTTTATTACCCATAACAAGGGAACCAGTGCAGATCAGCTTGGTATAAAGACAACTCTTAGGAATGACGACCATTTCACTCATTCAACAAGCATTTCTTGTGCTGAGATTAAAAACAAAACAAACCTCACAGCCATCAAGTTGATTCTGAGTCCTAGCAACCCTCTCCATAGGACAGGGCTTCTGAGACGGTAGCTCTTCACGGGAGTGGAGGCTTAGCTTTCTCCTCCAGAGCAGCCGGTGGGTTTGAAGGGCTGTTTGCAGCCCCTGGGTAACCCTTGTGTCACCGGTCTGTTGAACGAGGAATAACGACAGACGCAAGCTTGGTCCTGATGGAACTCACCCGGTGCCATACCCTTTACAGATTGTTCCCAATTCTCCTCATGGCATTGCTTTCTAAATAGTGTTAGCTATGGTTTGCATGTGTGGATACTGGGTTCTAAGGAGTGGAAGCAACTTCTCCGTGACCCCACATCTAGTTACTGGCAGAGTGAGTTGTGTGCTTGCCATGTCAGCTCACAAAGATCAGAAGGCACTCTCTGTCCTTCCAAGAGCAGGCACTTTCTGTTCTGGAAGCATCATCAGTTCCTGCTCGCTCACTCACTGCCATGGAGCGAACGCCAACCCACAGCAACCCTCGAGGACAGGGTAGAATTGTCCTTTGGAGCTTCCAAACTATACTCTTCATGGGAGGAGAAAGCCCTGTCTTTCTCCTGAGGGGTGGCTGGTGGCTTTGAACTGCTGACTTTGGGGATCACAGCCCAATACATAACCACTAGACCACTAGGGCTCCTTCATCAGTTCCTTAGTGAGAATCTATGTCTCGGACCCTTTCCAGAGGGATGATTTTGCTGGAGGGTGGATGAAGAGAGAACCTTAAGATGCTGCATGTGTGAGGGAGGTGGGGAGAGGGAAGCACCATGGGAAGATGGCTTTACCACCTTGAGCGTTTTGCCAGAACTGATGGGGTCACTCTGAGTCAGAATGGACAGAATGGCAATAACCACCGGTGAATGGTTACACCCATTTGTTTGAATCCTAACGGGAATTTCTCAATCTTAAATTGTGAATACTTCATGCCTAACATGCTAGTAACATGTGAAAAGTCTATTGTTACAATGTATTTAACTTCGATGGAATGAGGGTCACACATCCCCTTTTATTGTCGATGAGTCGCCACTCTGTGGGTCTGGGCACATTGACAGAGAGCGCAAACAGCCTGGCTTGCACGAGGCACTGCGGCTGCTTTTGGTAGAGATAGACATGTTCTAAAACTCGAGTGGTGATAATGTCACAGTGCTGTAAGTTTGTTAAAAATCAATGAGTTGGATGCTTGAAACGGAAGAAGTCTATGGCCTGTAAATTAAACCTCAAAATTTGTTTTTACAAACACGATGTTATTGAGACTGGAGGAACCCCCAAATCTTCCCATTCTGAGAGAAGCTTCAAACCAATGACCTGAAATTACCCCCTGGAGACAACTGTAAATGAAACCACTGTCTGGCTAAATGAGTGGAGAACGTTTGCCATGAGCATTGCGCTCTTTGAAAGGAGGATTTGAGATCACATTGTCAGGCAGTAAGGCTGATGCATTGCAGGGCAGCTCTCCTCCCCCACTGCTTCTTGTCAATCAGCTCAGCAGAGTAAGGGGGGACCAGTGTCTCTGACGCATTCTCTTCCCTCTTGTAGCTGCTCTGGATGGCATTCGGTGACAGGAAACTGGTTTGGGGTTGAGGCCGCCAAGAGTTCGGAGGAAACTAAGGCAGACAGCAAGTGACGTGCCACCTACTTCCTGCAAGAAGCTCAGAGGAAGTCACAACCACAAGAACATTCAAGCCTCACATCGGTGTCATGCAAGGTGCCACCTACCTGTGGGATATGCCTAGATGGTATCCCTTACTCCCTTGGGACATGCTCAAAATCTGTTTACCTTCTATTAGAAATAGAAAGAGGTGACCATTTTTTAAAATCTAACATGTCAAGGAGGTGAGATATATGTGTGTGTATACACCCCCAGAGGGAAATATAAAACACAAAGTAACTCACACATTCCCTTATTAATTCTCTCTGCGTATGAAGAATCTTCCTTTCTGTTCAATTCAGATTATGAAACAGATGAACTTGCTCAACTTGGTCTCAGGGTATCCAACTCAATACACATGGGACTAGACCAGATCACGTTCAAAGGGACTACCACCTCTCACAGGGTAAAGTTGTATAAGTTCCAGGCATTTCCATCCTGTGTAAAATCGCCTTTTTAAAATTATGAGAATTAAAGTGCAAAGAACAGCTCCTAGAACTTAATACCTGAACAAAGACTATGAAGGTTATTATTATTGGCCATTCTTATGACAAGATATCGCATACCATCTGTTGGTATTATTCCTTTTATTGTCTTCCCCCATCTGAGACATATTGATGGTGTTTTGAGTATATTTCTCAATGCATAGGGTAGGTTATTATGAAAAGCACGAATGGATAATGTATAGCCTTTTCAAGCCTCATTACACTCAAAGAGTGTCTCCGACACCTTTTGTTCTTGAAGTGGTTGCTTGATGATCTCAAAATAAACCTGTCACTAAGTCAGAAATGCACCATTAATACCAATAGTCTCAGAGTCACGAGATATGATACAGCAATGCCCTGGATAAGACTCTTGCTTGAGTTACAGAGGGAGTGCCTGCTTGGAAGGCATTTATTCTTTACTTAGGTGGGTGAAGGTCAGAAGAGAAACTGCCAAGATCCACCCGAGAGTGAAAACAGTACCATGGAGGAGGAATAACACAGAAACACAGGGGTTGAAGGAGGGAGAAGCCACATTCCATGATGAGAACAAGGCAGGGCATGGATGCTTCATAGAAGAAAAACATATTTTAAAAAATGGTAGGGCTCCTTAGGAAAGGTTTTCTCTGGTTCCTAAACCTCAGGAAATCCTAGAATCACCTGGTCTCACCCCTAGAGGTTCTGATTGGGGAGGGATGGTGTCAGGGAATCTGAAGTTTTTTAAAAGCTCACACAGTATTGATCATAATCAGCCAGGCTTTCCACAGCATACTTTCTCATTTAAAAACATTCATCAGACATTTCATGTACCATACATCCACTCATGCATTCAACAAATATATACTGAGCAACTATTCTGGGTGCTGAGTCACAGCAGGAATAAGATAAGGCGTATCTATTTTACCAGAGAAATAGAGACATATGAATGGTGCAGGACACTGGGAGCTGGTGTAAATGAATCAACCCATCTCCTAGGAGTACTGGCATGCTGGGGTCGACAGCGGGCTGGTAACCATCAGGTTGGTGGTTCAAACCCAGCAGCTGTTTCACAGGAGAAAGATGAAGCTGTCTTTCTCCATAAAGACTTATAGTCTCTGAAACATTACATCGTGCCACCATGAGTGGGCGGAGCCCTGGTGGCACTGGGGGTGACACTGCGCATTGGGCTGCAAACCACAGGGTCAGCAGTTTGAAAGCACCCATTGTTCTGCTGACCAAAGACTAGACTTTCTGCTCCCATAAAGAGTCCCAGCCTTGGAAATCCACTGGGATAGTGCTACTCTGTGCTATGGGGTCACCATGAGTCGGAATCAACTCGATGGCAAGTGAGATGAGAGTTTTCTGAGTGGGGATGGTCTAGATGGCAGTGACCTGGAGTCTCTC